GGTCAAAGGGTAGAGGCAAATCTGACCTCAGCCTCATAGGAATGGGCCTAGGGTTGATGGAGAGTCTCCCTCTTCTTTCTTGTGAAACTAAAGGAGGTCAGGTGCCATCCCCATACCATGTTTACAGGAGCAGAAGGTCCAGAGTCTGCAGAGTGAAACCCAAGCCTAGTCAGGAAACAGGAGGTCAAGTCAGAGGGCTGGAGCTGCTGCATATGTTACAATAATGGTGCGTCTTTCTGCCACAGACATATTACTTTGTTCTTGTTTTTAGTTAAGGCACAGCAAAGTTTGGGAATCTTTGCACTGAGGGTGGGATGTAGGCAGGAGCAGGGAGAGAAACACTCAGAGCGAGCAGACCTACCTCAAGAACTCAGATGGGACACCAGGCCCAAAGCACAAGCAGAGAAATACCAAGAGATTGTGTGACAGGAATGTTGATATCGGATGCCAAACTTTAAATTTCCCTTTTCTGGGTGTCCCCCTGGAGTCATTTGGCAACATACACAATTGTCTGAGCCAGCAGTACCTGGGAAAATAAAAAAAGGGGCTTTGTCTGTATGGTGGAGAGTGACCTCCTTCACACCTTTACTTGAAGGCCAATCCAAGGGGTTTAAGTTCGGCAGCCAGAGTTCTGGGGACGCAAAGGGCCCTAACAACCCAGAGCTGCTGCCGCAACCACACTTCCCCAGTATTCCAAGGCTCAGGCATGTGGTGGGAGACTGGGCAGAGGAGGACCCTCTCAGGACAGACATCCACTGAGGTTCTGTGCTCAAAGCAACACTAACACCCTTGGGCCCCTGATAACTGTCCCCTCCAGACTCGATCCCCAGCCCCCAAATCTACCTTCTCTGAGTGGTTCTAACTGGAGTGTCCCCTGCAGATAGGGAGGGCGCAGGCGCAGGGAGAGGCAGCCAGCAGGGAAGACCACTCACTCCTCACACAAGTGCCCAGGCTGGGCCAGGAGCTGCGGGGTAGCACACACATGGCACAGCACGGGGGGCACCTGCAGGTGAATGCCACGGAGAAAAGGCACCGCCAGCGCTGGGTACACCCTACCTACCGCCAAAACTCCCCAGCCCTGGAACCCCTGAGCCCGACTCCTAGAACCCCGAGCCTCAGGACCCCTCACCCTGAGACCCCAGAATCCCTCACCTCCGGACCACCCACCCACACGCCGGGAAGCCCCCACCCGCTAGGCCAACTCACTCCGGGACTCCCACGTCAGGACGCCCCCTCCATCCCCGGAACCCCCACGCTGCAGCCTCCGGGTAGGGACCAGCCCCTCTCCATCCTAGTGTTCCCAGCCGCCTGCAGGGCGCTCAGAAGATGCTGAGGCAAACTCGGCAGAGAGCACTTGAGGGAGAGACCGCCGGGCCTTGCGGGTCTCTTGGTGTCGCCCCTTCGTAGCGCCGGGGTTAAGGGACTAGAAAACTTTCGGCGGGTGGAAATGGAGTTGAAGGACCCCTCTAGTACTGCTGTCGCAATGTCTTCTGGGAGTTCTCCGCCTGTGTAGAAGCAGCCACATCCGGAGGCAGAGTCGTCTGGGAGTTGTAGTTCTTTACCCATCTTGGCATGGATTACGTCTCAATGTAGAGAGAACAGAAATCCTCACCACTGGACCAATAAACAACATTCTTATCAACCGAGAAAAGATTGAAGTTGTCAAAGACTTCATTTTCTTGGATCAACCATCAACACTCACAGAAGCAGCAGTCAAGAAATCAAATGATGTATTACATTAGGCAAATCTGCTGCACAGGAACTTTTTAAAGTGTTGAAGAGCAAAGATGTCAGCGTGAGGACTAAGGTGAGCCTGACCCAAACCATGGTATTTTCAATAACCTCATATGCATGTGAAAGCTGGACAGTAAATAAGGAAGATCGTAGAAGAATTGCTGCTTTTGAGTTATGGTGCTGGAGGAGAATATTGAAAGTGCCATGGGCTGCCAAAGAACCAATAGATCCGTTTTGGAAGAAGTGCAGCCAGAGTGCTCCTTGGAGGCCAAGATGGCTAAACTTTGTCTCTCATACTTCAGACATATTGTCAGGAGGGACCAGTCACTGGAGAAGGTTATCATGTTTGGTAAGCTGGAGGGGCAGAGAAAAAGAGGAAGACCCCCAAAGAGGTGAATTAGCCAAGTGGCAGCATTGATGGACTCAAGTGTGGCAACAGTAGTGAGGTTGCCCCAGGATCGAGCAGTGTTTCGTTCTGTTGTGCATAAGGTCGCTTTGGTTCGGTACCGACTTGATGGCATCTAACAACAACACCCACCTTGGATCGGTCCCTTCCCCTCGCGTGCCATCCCCGCCCTCGCCTGCGCCCAGTTTACCAAAGGCTAGCGCCGTGGTGCCTTGTGGAAGTTATAGGTTCTCGCTTCCTGCACTGACGCTGCCCTATCTTTTTGTACGTCCCGTCTCGTCGTGCTCGTCCCATGAGGACCTCTGGGAGTTGTAGTTCTACGCCCTCAGCCTGTCAGCCGAATTGGCGCCGCGGAACTCTATGAGAGCTGTTCCCTGCTTTGCGTTCACTCCCACCTCTGACTCGGAGCCTCCGGTTCTAGTACTTCCACAATCCTCTTCCTCCTCATGTTTTACCCTGGCCCCGCCCACTCACGCCAACACCGCGGAGCCCTCTGGGAGTCGTAGTTCCTCCCTCAGCCTATGCCGCGGTGCCCTCTGGGAACTGTAGTTCCCCGCCGGCTCCGGGTCGGGGGCCTTGGGGGCGCGGCTCGGGCCCACCATTCCCAGGGATGCGAGGCGCGGGGTTCGGGGGCAGGAAACTGCACCTCCAGCCGCCGCTCCGGAAGCTTCTCGCGCTGAGGAGTTGGCGGGAGGCCCAGTCTGGGCATGGCGCGCCAGGTAAGATGGGGCCGCGGTCCCGGACGAGCGAACGGACAGACGGCGGCTGTGCGGCGCGCCATTGGTGGCCCCGAGACCCCCCACCCGCCCCAACACACACGCGCGCACGCTGGGCCCGTGGGGTCTCTCCCCAAACTTAGGTTTCGTCCTCCCAGATCACAAGTTCCCGCGCGGGCAGCAGCGGCGAAGAGGTGATCGAGCTTTCGTCCCCGGGGACTCAGAAACAGCAGGAAGGACCCAAAAGATAGCAGGGAGACCCACGGGATAGCGTGGAACCCAGGGAAGCGCAGAGGGATCTTGGGGCATCAGGGGGGCCTGAGGAATAGCAGAGGGACTGGGGTGTAAGTAGGGAGACCCTGGGGCAGCAGGAGGACTTAGGGAACCCAGGGACCTGGGGGACAGATGGGGGGCGCTGCAGAGGCAAGATGGCTTGGGGGTGGGCAGGTTCTGATGGGCAAGGAGGGTCCTGGGAAGGTTGGGGGCCTCTGGGCCCCGGAGGAGCAGTTTTCCTGCTCTGGTAGGAGACCAGCAGAGGGTGTTTGGGGGTCAACATGGCAGCAGTGGTTCCTGGTGTGGTGTTGCAGGGTAAACACTGGACTGCTAACAAGGTCAGCAGTTCAAACCCACTAGATGCTCCTTGGAAACCCTATACAGAGTCACTGTGACGGAGAACTGACTCTACAGTGCTTAACAACAGCCCCCTGATTGGCGCCCATCAGTGTTGGGCTGGGAGCGAGGACTCGGATATGGGCCTGGACCTCCAGCCAATGGGCTTCCCCTCATACCCATACAGACTCCCCTCTTCCCACATTTCTGAGCAAAGGGAGATGAGCTGAAAGCCAGTCCTGGCCAGAGTCAGCCTGTGGACATTTTATAGGAACTCTGTCGCAGCAGAATCGTTATCTGGGTGCTCAGGGGCCTGAAGCCATTGAGAGCCTGGAAATGGAAGCCTCAGCCCAGGGTGCACAGAGGAGCCCCCATCCTGTGCCTCGAGGGTGAGGGTCTGCAGACAGGGCTGACTGAGGTCACACTAGCTGATACTCTCACTGTGTCCCCCAGGAGATTGGTGGTCCAGGCCTCAGCGGATAGCTCGATCATGCTAGCAAAGCGGTGATTGGTGTGAGCACCAAAGAATCCCTAAGTGCAGACTGGGCCATTGGAGGAGCAGAGGTTGGGTGGTAGGGCACCCAGGACCCAAGGCACCCAACTGGAAATGGAGAACTCTCCCGGAGCCGGTTTCCTGTTGGGTGGTCGGCCATGGCTACTGTGGGTCCATCTTCAAACAACTAGTAAAGTTTTTATTTTTATTAAAGGATCACGGGGAATGGTCATCTTTTCTTGCAAATATCTCTGTGGTCCATCCCTACAGACTTGCATTTGTTGTTGTTGTGAAGTGCTATCAGGTCGATCCTGACTCATAGTGACCCTGTCTAAAGGTTTCCGAGGAACAGTTAGTGGGTTTGAACTGCCGTCCAGTGCTCATCCCCCAGTGCCACACAACGAGCCCCGGACTTGACTTAGTACAAGTAATCTTGAAAAGCAGATGGTGAATAACTTGCTTATTATAGGCACAGCCAAACCTCAGTGTGAAGCCTGTAGTTCATATGGGGCTCTGGAGGTGGAAAGGGGGTTGTTGTTGTTAAAGTGTCATTGAGTTGGTTCCGACCCATAGCGACCCTGTATAGGGTTTCCAAGGAGCAGCTGGTGAGCTTGAACTGCTGACCTTGCAGTTCAAATGGCTTTACAGTCTGGCGCATTAACCCACAGCGACACACTAGGACTCAGAAGGGCGTTAGCAACATGGAAATAGTGTTTGCTGGATTCCTGATGATGTCTCATGCTTACTCTAAAGCCTAGAGCTGGTGTGTGATTCTTCTTACTGAGGTCACGTGTCAGCTTTTTAAATGTACCGTGCTAGGGCCCCAGGTCTTTATACAGGAACGTTGCCTGCTGACCTCATGAATCTCTGCCTTGGAGAGTCTAGAGCTGGCTGGGATTCCCAGCTGGGAGAGCACAGTATGTTTCCTGCAGACGCTGCTGCCTTCTCCCTGTGCCTCCCACTCTGGGCTCTCCGGACAGGTCCCCAGCTAGAGGGGACTAAGCCCGTCCACCCTGAGCTGTGCCCACAGGCGTGCATCACCTTCACGGATGTGGCAGTGCAGTTCTCCCAGGATGAGTGGCGCCTCCTAGAGGAAGGACAGCGGATGTTTTACCAAGACGTGATGCGGGAGAACTACGCCGCGCTGGCCTCCCTGGGTGAGGCCGGGTGATGGAGGGCCGGGAGGTGGGATACCTACGCAGTGCTGGCCTCTGGAGTTGGGGCCAGGATGCTAGGTAATGTGGCGGGGAGACTGCATTCCAGAACCCTAGTGTGTCCGGCCATACTGGGTACTGCTCTAAGGGCCCATGCTGACCAGCAACTGCTCAGCGGCATGGGGGTGGGGCATTCTCAGACTTGACAAACCTGCAACACTGAGCAGGATGATTCCCAGCCCCCTACCTCTGCCCCGAAGTCTGATGATGCATTGCCTTAAGTCTAGGTTAGTGTACACACCTACACGGGACACATGTAACACATTTTCCACATGTAATGGATGTCATGTATAACACAGGTGCCAGGTGTTGTGTATAATATATACACCACTCGTGTGACACACACACTGCCATAACACATTACATGTAACGTGCACCATGTACAAGTGTGTCCCATGTAACACCTGTTATGTGGCCCATGTAGAGTATGTACCACATACTCAATGCATGGTACAGCACAAGTAACATGTGGCTGGTGTGTGCTGCATGTAACTCTGACATACATGTGTGCCACATGGAATACCACATGCAACCCACACTACATGTCATGCACCACACATGCCACCTACAGTTCATGTAACAGGCATCTTGCATACACCATGTATGCCATGAGCTGTGTGTGTGACCCATGTTTTTATGTATGTAACAGACATCTCGTGCACACCACGTGCTGTGCAATGTGTGCAACATGTGATGCATATGTAACCAACATGTCTGCTAATCATGTGTGCCATGTGCAGTGCATGTAACAGATGTGCCATCCATATAACTAGTATGTCATGTGATACTTGCATGCTGTGTGCACCACAGTTTCCGTGTACATGTAATACATATGCCATGTACATGTCATATACTCCACATATACCCCGAGTAGTGCATGTAACCTGCATTCACGTGTCTCACCTACCCCAGGTCACGTGGTACCTGCTTGGAATCAGTGAGCGGGAGGCGGGGACCAGCTTCCACTCCCAGGGTAACTGTCTCCTCATTCTTCATTCAGGGACAGCTGAGTTGCTCCCACTCTCTGCTTTCCTGTCACCCACGGAGCCGGAAGGAACCATGGGCGATGGGAGCCGTGCCGAGGAGGAGCAGGAGCCTCGTGTCCAGAGTGGCCTTCTGGGTAAGTCATGTGGGCAGGCGTGGCCCCTGGGTGTTACAGCTGCTCACATGGCCTTGGTTGGCCCCATCATCCCATTTCACCCCTCCATCCCACTACACCCCAGACCTTCCCACTGAGACGTGCGCCTTGGAAAACCCCTGATCCACAACAGTCCTGCCACATGGGACCCCTCAGCCTGGGGTGGGATGTGGTAGGGAACCTAGGACCTGAGTGGGGGCATGGTGGAGGCAGCCCCGACCCCCCAGCCCTGGTAGGCCCCATCTTGGTAGAGTGGCCCCTCCCACGCCCACTCCCGCCTCGGGGCCCTTGGTGAGGGACTTGATGACCAGTCAGCCACTCTGCAGGAGGACCACCGAAGCACAGCCTACCCCTCTCCGCCCTGGTGCAGCTGGTGAAGGGGATCCCAGAATTTCTGCTCCGGGAGGTCCCGGAGAGCAGTGAGGATAACGTGAGGGCAAGCCCAGCAGGTAAGTCAGGCATTTCTGTGCTTTCTGCTCTGAGGACCATGCTTTCTTGACATTAGGAAGTGGAGAGAAGATTGGAATGAGTTTACTTTCACACATCGTTGTCAGTGTGGACGGTCTGCCGCTTGTGTTCCCTGCTTTGCGTCTCAACTCTAAACATTTCTGTCTCCAAACTGGGTGGGTTGGGAGGCCCTGGGAGAGTTGGAGGAACCTGTCTGGGTACTTAGTCAAGAAGGAAGTAGATAGGACTCTAACCTTCCCTCCCTAGGGTGGGCCTGGGACAAGCCCTCGGAGCTAGCTACATCCCCCCATAGTCTGGAGTGTTGGGAACAGGGGAGATCTGCCCTGTGGAGGCCAGACGGGGTCCACTTCCCAGCTTCACTTGTCTTCTGCAGCAGAACCTACCAGTAAACCAGGGTCAACAGGGAAAGGAGGCCCAGCGGTCCTGGGCAGCCAGCCCCAAATACCTTCCTGCAGCCCTGACAAGAAGAGCTGTTGGAACCAGGAGGGAGAGGTCCCAGGACCAGGTGAGACACAGCTTTGTGGGGCCCCCAAAGAGAACACTCTGAACCCACCCCCAGCATCTCCCAGAGGCCCCAGGGCTGAGTCCACGGTGAAATGACCATAAGGGATTTCCCAGGAGCTTTGGAAGGCCTGTATCACATGGAACTTGTTCCCAGTCAAACACAAACAATTCATGCATGGAAATGTGGAAAACCATCGAGTCAAAGAAACCCCCAGAACATTCGAAATGCTTACGTCAGAAGAAGAAGCAAACACACCATCTTGGGGCAGCCGACAAGGGAGAGCTGGATTCTGCTCCCAGTGGGAGAATCAGAGAAACCCCAGGCAAGCACCATCGAGTTGGTTCTCAAAGCGACCCAGCTCCGTAGCGCTTCCAAAACGAAATCTTCATGGGAGCAGACAGCCTCATCGTTCTCCTAAGCAGTAGCTGGGGGGTTTAAACTGCTGGTCTAGCAGTTAGCAGCCCTGTGCTTAACTCACTGCACTACCAGAGTTCCTGCAAACGTGTCTCATTGCTTAAACTACATGTTCCCATGTTCCCACTCCAGCTCGTAAGGCACCTCAACAAGTCCTTGGAATTAAGTTTTCAGGGAGCTGGCCCTGCTATGAGGGTGCAAGGATGGATGCTTCAGCGCTTCCCAGCCAGAACTCACCCCACACAGTGCCCCCAAACTCCAAACCAAACGTACCGAAGATACCCAGCTGAACCCTGCGGTCACCCTGGAAGCAGGGAAGCGTTAACGTGGGCATGTTCCATGCCCACATTCGGTGCCAGGATCTCACTCCTGGGGACCTGTGGCGCAGAGAAACCCCAGAGAGAGGCACTCTTAGCTGCTGGGGCTGGGGGCTTGGCTGCACTGAGTCAGAACCCCCATCCGTGACCTCGTTGTTGTACGTGCTTGGCAGGATTCTCTCCTGGGAGCAGCCCCTTACAGGGCCTCATAGACTGCCTGAGAGAAATCCTTGTGCCGGGTCCCCAGCATCCAGAAGCACCCCCAAGCAGACTGTACCCCCACCCCACCTTGAGCAGACTGGAGCCGGGGTCTGGAAGCCCCCCCCTAGAAGGTGAGTGCAGCACCTGTGTCCTCGCGTCAGGACTTGGGTAGAGTCTTCTGTCTTTCTGAAGGCCCAGGCATCAGAACTACTGCTGTGTGCCGTTGAGTCGGCTCTGACTCTCAGCCACCCTGAGTGGGGTTTCTGAGGAGCAGTTGGTGGGTATGAACTGCTGACCTTGAGACCAGTAGTCCAGGCTTCTGCCCCAGGACCCCCTGTGAAGCTTTACAGAGGATGACATGCGGTTAGGGAGCGAGCACTTCAGATCAGAAGGTACCTCCTTACCTTTGTTCTGGCTTCTGTTGTGAGGCTCTGGGTTAGCTGTGGACTCGTTAGCCTGGGACTGTTGGCAGTGGCGTGCGAGGCAGGTCTGACTCTCAGGCTGGATGCGGTGCTAATGGGTGTTGAGGATGCCCCATCCTGGGATGCTCTAAGGTTTAAGTGGCGTTTATAAAAGCTCCAGCCGAGCCTCAAACACGACGGTTGAGGTCACTGTGAGCTAGGAGGAGGGACTGCTCAGCTTTCCAGTATACTTGCCATGTTGTTTTCCTCCTTTCCCCATGCACTTCTGGGAGGTATGTAAGCAGACATGTTTGGTTTTGCATTTTATTTTATTTTTATTGTGAATTGAGTCAAGGTTCACAGATAAGATCATTGGCATTACTTTCAACAAATTACACACTTTGTTTCATCTCAGTGATTATAGCCCCGCCCTGCAACAACAGTGATCCTACTTCCTGTCCTGTGGCTCCTCATTTACATCTAATATTTCACAAATGAACAAAGCGAAAATATTTGATGTACACATATGAAACAAAAATATCCAAAGGGCACACTCTGCCTGTCAGCCTCCTGCCTGCAGGCACACATTCCTACCGACTCCATGGGCCTGGAGCCCGCAGCTGCTGTCTCTCCACGCCACCATCTGCTGTCACCGCGTCTAGGTGGGAGCTCACACTCCATGCTCTTTCTTCTTGATGGTCCTGTTCCTGAAATGAAACATTAACTACTTCCCACTTTTGGTTAATCTTGCTAACAGTTACTCAAAATGATGTCATAAAACCCTATCACCATCATCACACATCCCCTTTCCCCAAAGAAAAGAAGAATCCTATTTAGTAGGGATTCTATCGTACCCCTCTCATGAGAACTTATTATGTTATTGTTGTTAATGCCATGGAATCAGTTCCAACTCATAATGACCCTGTATAGGGTTTCCGAGGAACGGCTGATGAGTTTGAAGCGCCATTTTTGATGGGGGACTGTATTGCCCATCCCTATCAATCCAGCACACTGAGGGGAAAAGCTTGTTCCTTGATAGGAAGAATCCTTCCATTTTGGTTGGAATTGTAGCAACTACATTCATAAGCAAAAGTCCAGTCCATCAAATTGTAACCGTTGGCACTTGTTCACAGCATTAAACATCTTTATCTTCATCTGGTTGAGTTCTGGTCAGCTAGCCATCCATCCAGCTAGTCAAATGGTTACCAGCGGCAAGTTTGGGAGTTCACACACACCTCCCTGCACTTCAGATCAGCTGGCCCCTTCACTCAGCCCTAGCGCCCAGGGACTAGGTCAGTGCACCTGGGCTCAAGAGTTCATGCATCTCCCTAAATTTCAGACCAGCCAGCCCTCACTTTTCTCTCTCGTCTCAAGTCAGTGGGTGTCAATAGAACTTGGTCAAACAGCCCGCTTTCATTGCAGCATTTCTCCCACTTCCACTCACAAGGAGACCCAAATGGTTGCCTGTGAGCACATTAGATTGCTCGCAGGTTCCCTTGAAGTTTCAGCCCTGTTGTTTTTGTTGTTAGGTGTCATTGAATTAGTACTGATTCAGAGCGACTATCTGCAAAACAGAACAAAGCACTGCACTGTCCTACCCAACCTTAGAACCGTTGCCACGTGCCAGCCCGGTACTGTTCCCACTGTGTCAGTCCATCTAGTTGGGGGTCTTCCTCTTTTTCTCCGACCCTCCACTTTATCAAAAATGATATCCTGGAACTGCTCCCTCCAGACAATGTGTCTTAAGTATGAGAGACAAAGTCTGGCCAAGGAACATGCTGACTGTACTTCCTCCAACACAGATTGGTTTGTTCTTCCGGCAGTCCATGGTACTTTTCATCTTCTCCTCCAACAACATAACTCAAATGCATTAATTCTGCTATGGTCTTCCTTACTCACTGTCCAACTCTCATGAGGTCATTGAAAATACCATGGCTTGGGTCAGGTGCGCCTTAATCCTCAAACTGACATCTTTGCTCTTGAACACTTTAAACAGGTATTGATTGTGTAGCAGATTTGCCTAATGCAATACGTCTTTTGATTTCTTCTCCATTGTGTCCATGAGTGTTAGTGGTTGATCCAAGCAAAATGAAGTTCTGACAATTTCAATGTTTTCTCCATTTATGTGGATGTTGTTTATTGATCCAGTGGCGAGGATTTTTGTTTTCTTTACATTGAGGTGCAACCCATACTGAAGGCTGTGGTCTTTAATCTTCATCAGTTAGTATTTTAAGTCCTCTTCGCTTCCAGCAAGTAAGGTTGTATCATCAACATATTCCAGGTGATTAATGAGTCTTCCTCCAATCCAGATGCCATATTTTTCTTCATATAATCCAGACTTTCTGATTATGTGCTCAGCATACAGATTGAATAAGTATGGTGAAAGAATGCAGCCCTGATGCACACCTTTGCTAATTTTAAATCTTTCTTTGTCCCCTTGTTTTGTTTAAACAAGTACCTCTCCGTCTATGTACAGGTTCCTCATAAGCACAATTAAATGTTCCAGAATTCTCATTCTCTGCAATGTTGTCCATAGCTTGTCATGATCCACATTTTGCATAGTCAGTAAAGCCCAGGTAAACATCTTTCTGGTATTCTGTGCTTTCAGCCAAGATCCATCTGACGTTAGCAGCGATAGCCCTGGTTTTTACGTCCTCTTCTGAATCTGGCTGGAAACTCTGGAAGTTTTCTGTCAGTGCGTGTTTCCAGCCATTTTGGATTATCTTTAGCAAAATTTTGATTGTGTGAGATGTTAATGATATTGTCTGATGACTTCCGCAATCTCTTGGGTCACCTCTTTTTGAATTGGGCACAAATATGGCTCTCTTTCAGGAAGTTGGCCAGGAAGTTATCTTTCAGATTTCTTGGCATAGATTATGCGTCCAGTGCTGTATTAGTTTGTTGAAAGATTTCACTGTATATAATTCCATCAGTTCCTGGAGGCTCATTCTTTGCCAGTGCCTTCAATGTACCTTGGACTTCCTCCTTCAGTATCATTGGTTCTTCATCATATGCTACCTCTTGAAATTGTTGAATATCAACTTTTTTTTTTTGGTACAGTAACTCTATATATTCTTCCCATCTTCTTTTGATTCTCTCTGTATCATTCAATATTTTGCCCATAGAATCCTTCAGTATTGTAAGTTGAAACTTGAATTCTTTTCTTCTGCTCTCTCAGCTTAAGAAATGCTGAACATGTTCTTTTTGGTTTTCAAACTCCAGGTCTTCGCACATTTTGTTATAATATTTGACCTTGTCTTCTCAAGCTGCTCTTTGAAATTTCCCATTAAGCTTGTTTACCTCTTTTCTTCCATTTGCTTTAGCATCTCTACGCTGGTTAGCAAGCTGCAGAGTCTTCTGACCTTGATTTTGGTCTTTTCCTTCTGTCTTTTGTAATGACATTTTGCTTTCTTCCCATATGATGTTCTTGATGTCATCCTATAACTCCTCTGGTGTTTGGTCTTTAGTGTCTAATACATCAGATCTGTTTTGAAATGGTCTCTAAATTCAGGTGGGAAATGTTCAAGGTCATGTTTTGGCTCTCATGGATTTGTTTTAATTTTCTTGAGTTTTAGCCTGAACTTGACCCTGGTCTTGCTTTAGCTGATGATACGGAGCTTTTCTACCATCTCTTCCCCGAGATGTAGTTAATTTGATTTCTGTGTATAGTGAGGTCCATGTGTGTAGTCGTCTTTTATGTTGTTTAAAAGTATTCACAATGAAGAAATCATTGGTCTTGCAAAATTCTGTCATGTGATTTCCAGCATTATTTCTATCACCAAGGCCATATTTGCCAACTACTGATCCTTCGTCTTTGTTTCCAGTCAGCAGTAATTACCAAAACATCCTAATTACATATTTAACCAATTTCAGTCTGAAGAAACTGAAAGAATCCTTCAGTTTCATTATTTAGTGGCTGGTGCATAAATTTGAGTAATAGTTGTATTAATTGGTCTTCATTGTAGGTGTATGGATGTTACCCTGTTATAGACAGCGTTGTATTTCAAGACAGTCCTTAATGTGTTCTTTTTGATGATGAATGTGATGCCATTCCTCTTCAATTTGTCATTCCCGGCATAGTAAACCATGTGATTATCGGGTTAAAAATGGCCAATACCAATCTATTTCAATTCATTAATACTTAGGATATTGATATTTATGTGTTCCATTTCATTTTTGACAGTTTCTAATTTTCCTAGATTCATACTTGATACATTCTATGTTCCGATTATTAATGGACGTTTACAGCTGTTTCTCTTCATTTTGAGTTGTGCCCCATCAGCCAATGAAGGTCGTGAAGGCTTTACTGCATTGTGTCGTCATGGTCAACTCTACTCTGAGGAGGCAGCTCTTTTCCAGTCGTATTTTGAGTGTCTTCCTAGCAGAGAGGCTCATCCTCCTAGCACTACGTCTGGTGCTCCTCATCAATTTTCAGTATTCAATATTATGATACCATCAGACTCTTCCACTGCTGTGCATAAAAATGTTTTCAGTCAGTGACTAAAGATTCAGAAGTAGTCCGTCTCTGCTTCTTCCTAGTCTGTCTTCGTCTGGAAGCTCATCTGAAAACTGTTCACCATGGGTGACCCTGCTGGTATTTAAAATACCGGTGGCATAGCTTTCAGAATCACAGTAACTCACAAGCCACCGCAGTGCAACAAACTGACAGATGCTTGGAGGAGTTATAGCCCTAGAAGGGGGTTTTCCCAGATTGACTGACTTTTCTCGCCTTGATGCCTCCAAAGCAAACAGCTTGCTTGAGATTCAAACACAAAACGTTCCTTTTTTTCTCTCCCTGCAGGTCTTTCCTTAAATATAAATCTGTTTTCCCAGTGATTCTGGGTTGGTCTGTGTGTCTTTTCAAGTGGAAATGTCCCAACTCAGAAGGTTCCGGGTGGGGCTCAGGATTCTACCTAAGGCCCTAGACTCTACAAGGGCTTAATAAGAAGTCTATTTCCCTGGGCAAATTCTAACTCCCCTTTTAGCAAATCCAGCTATGGCTGAAGCTGGGCTCACAAGCTTTCTGTAATCATAATTCCTAATACTCATTTCTATGACACATAAATGTCTGTTTTATAGTAGTAGATAGGAGAAACCAATATCCACAAGACAGTTAAATGCATAAACATTTTTTCCCTTCCTTTAAGCCTATGTCTTAATGAATGTATCTGTTCACAGGACACTGTTGTTCTAAGGTTGTATATAAATCACTACTTACCTCTAGGCCAGTTAGCCCATGCATACCTCTCTGAGCCTTCCCTTGTCTTCATTGTTCGTCTACATTTTAAATCAAGCATGAAGCAGAGAGCAGCTTGTGCAAGGCTGTTGGAGTTCCTCGTGGACCCCGCTCCTGATCCTGACCTCATTGAGACGTGGGTGGTTGTTTGTTGAGAGATCTGGGCAGTGGGTTTCAGGGGACACCACTCATAGCAACCCTGTGTAGGGTTTCCAAGAGCAGCTGGTGGGTTTGAACCGCTGACCTTACAGTTTCCAGTCCAGTGTTTATCCTACAGCAAGCACCACCACATCAGGGCTCCTTTTATATATACATATGTTAAGGAGCTCTGGTAGCATAGTGGTTATGAATCGGGCTGTGAACCTTAAGGTCAGCAGTTCGAAACTACCAGCTGCTCCATGGGAGAAAGATGAGGCTTTCTGCTCCCATAAAGATTTATAGCCTTGGAAGCCGGGTACAGGGTTGCTATGGGTCGGAACCGACTCAACGACGAGTCGGCCCTTAACAACAACAATATATAAGTGTTGTTATTGTTGTTAAGTGCCGTTGAGTCTGTTCCAACTTACAGCAACCCTGTAGGGTTTCTGAGGAATAGCTGGTGAGCTTGAACCGCTGACCTTGCAGTTCAAACCAAGTTTGTAGTCACCAACTTTGCAGTCCAGCGCATTAACCCACAGCAATATATATGTGTGTGTGTGTGTATATATATATATATATATATACACACACACATCACAGCTTTGTTTGAAAGTCACAAAGCTACCAACGGCTCACTGAGAAAAATTAGCACCCTTCAGTGCCCATCCAAGGACATCCCCTCACACAGGACAGCACCTCACACAGGACATCCCCTCACACAGGACATCCCCTCACACAGGACGGCCCCTCACTGCCCTGCTGGCTGCATTTCCAGATGTGTCTGGTGCTCTTTTTCCCTCAGTGAAAGTGGAGGCGACTCCAGGGGCATGTTTCCTCCAGCATCGGCCGGGTCAGCTGACGGAGACTCCGGAGGCCATCAGCAGCCACCCCAGCCCCTCAGGAGCAAGGCCGCCACCACAGCAGGAAGGGCCATGGGCCTCAGACACCACCACATGGCTACACGTGGGTCAGTGCCACCAGACAAGGCCATGAGGCCTCCCCACAGGCCCAGGACCCTTGCATATCCCTGCCCCGTGGTCTGGCTCTGGGCACCCCACCCATCTCAGAACTGCCCCCCCTGCCCCCCCGCCCCAGTCCCTTGTCCTGTCCACAAATCTTCTACTCACCACTGCTCCAGAAGTCTGTGGTTCAAGACGAGACTGCGGTCTGCTTGCACTGACTGATCTCACAGACCGTCCCCTGGTGGGACCCTTAGTTCCTGAACAGGGTCTGCTCCCAAGGGGAAGAGGAGAACCCACTACACGCTCTGGGGCTAAGGGCCAGCCTCGGCCACTCTCCCTAACTCACACCCCTCCCTAAAAGTATAGTGTCTCCCAGCCATCTCCTTGGGCCTGTGGGTGCACCTCCCTTCAGCCCCTCTGTGAGGTCCAGAGCGCTCAAAGCCTCCAAAAGAGGGTGTCCTGTGTGATGTCCCCTGCAGAAAGCCTGATAGGGCCACCCACCTGCTTGACCCAGGGCACTGATGGGTCCCTTGGGTCACAGCCAGCAGGGCCTCAAGCTCCCCGCTGGAAGCCCTGGAGGCCTGTCTGAAGGGCATTCCCCTGAGCGGGTCATCACCCTGGCAGCCGTCCACCACCTCTTGGTCCTGGAGCCCCCAGCAAGGACCCTCAGAGTCTCCTAGGCCTGAGCCGAAGTCTCAGGGATCGTACAAGTCAGGTAGGCCGTGGGCTCAAGGTGGTTTCTCATGAACGACCGGGAAAGACAGAATATACCGAGACCCCAGGATACCCACCAGGGGCCCAGGCATCCCGCCCACCCCGATAGCGCTGCAGCTTAGGGCCTCCTCCCTTACAGCCCCCATCCCTCGGGTCTTACCAGGTGAGCTGGCATTTCTGTGTGTTCACGCCTCGCAGCCTTTCAGTACAACCTGCACCTGAGGGAGGACAGGTGGGTGGGTGGTGTTTCGGCCAGACTAGCACGTGAGGTTTTCCATAACACCTGCACTGCTCTCTTCCCACAGAAGTGAGCAGGGGGCCTCTTCCTCCTCTGGGCCTGCAAGGCCCTGTGAGAGACCACGCTGCCCGCCACCCAGGCCTCCATGGGAGCCCTGCCACCTCCTTGTCCAGCAGCTCCACTGGGCACCTGGACTTCAGGAGTTCCGAAGGACGTCATAGGCACCGCCCTGGAATAGGTGAGCTGGGCTAGCTCACGTGGACTTAGCGTGGGTAAAGCTGGCCCTCACTCCTCCCTGCCGCCCTGCTCAGAGCGAGAGGCAGAGGCAGGAATTGTTAGGAAAGCCGGAGAACGGGAGAAGAGGGTGACATCTGGTGTCACTTAGAAAGATAAGGAGAATTCTCCATTAGCACCCAAATCTTCCCTGTCCCAACCACAGTGGTGACCGCCTGAACCCTTACTGCCCTCCAAATTCGGGAAACTGACACCGTCTGTGTAAAACCCCCGCAGAGAGGTGACTAGGAACCTCATAGAGGTCTGTCAGTGACCTTGCCTCTGCCTTGGGTTTGTTGATGACCTTGAATCTGCCCTCAGACACTTCTGTCTGTGACTCTAGTCCTCAGAGTTTCTGTCAGTTACCTCGGGTCTCCCCTCAGTGGACCTGTTGGTAACCTTGAGTTCACCCTCAGGAGATCTGTCAGTGACTTCACATCTGCCCTCTGCGGCTCTGTGGGTGACCTCGGGTCTGCCCTCTGCGGTTCTGTGGGTGACCTCGGGTCTGCCCTCAGCGGCTCCGTGAGTGACCTCGGCTCTGCTCTCAGCGGCTCTGTGGGTGACCTCGGGTCTGCCCTCTGCGGTTCCGTGGGTGACCTCGGGTCTGCCCTCTGCGGTTCCGTGGGTGACCTCGGGTCTGCCTTCATTCTTGAGCATTGGTTCACCACAGTTGATGGCAGAACTCTCTGGAGTCATGTGGAACTTATCCCTCTGAATAAGCCAGGTCTGGGTGCCCACCAAGGGCTAGCCTCATGGACTTTGCTCCAAAATACAAGTGGCTTTTTCTTTTTCATGAAGAAGCCTTGGTAGTACAGTGCTTAAGTGCTCGGCAGCTAACCAATAGACCTGTGGTTTGAGCCCCCCAGCTGCTCCTTGGGAGGAAGAGGTGGTCGTCTGCTTCTGTAAAGATAGTGGTCTTAGAACCCTATGGGGCAGTTCTCCCCTCCCCTGAAAGATTGCTGGAGTTAGAATCTACTTGACATTCATGGGTTTTGGGGTATTGTGTGCCCTAGAGTCGGTTCCAACTCATAGCCACTCTGTATAGGGTTTCCAAGAGTAACTGGTGGGCTTGAACCACCACCTTGAGGTAGTAGTGATCACAAGTCGGGCAGCAGTTCGAAACTACCAGCTGTTCCACAGGAGAAAGATGAGCTTTCTGCTCCCATAAAGATTTACAGCCTCGGAAACCATATGCAGGATCTCTATGAGTCGGAACCGATTCCATGGCACTTAACCTCTGTGTGTGTGTGTGTGTGTGTGAGGGCAGACCCGAGGTCACCCACAGAATCCATACACACATTTATGTATATCATAGCTTTGTTTGAAAGCTACAGATGGTTCGATGGGAAGAATTAGCACCCCTTGCTCCCCGTCGAGGTGTCCCCTCACACACGGCATCATCCGCACCGCCCTTTCAGCTGCATGTCTGGTTGTGTCCGGGTCTCTGGTATCTTGCTGTGTTTTATCTTAATGATGTGCTCAAAGTGTGTGTTGTAGGGAGCAGACACTCTTAAGTGTTTCCTCTGTGAGTGGACTTTGTATCTGAGAAACACAGGATGTACGAGAAGCCCCCTTGGCTTTTGGAAGTTTCTGATCCAGCTCTCAGCTCACTCTGTGCCCCAATACTTGGCAGTGTCCCCAGGAGGCAGCCATGTTCCTGTTTTCCTCCCACTGCCTAGACCCCAAATCAGCCAACCCCTTCAGAAAGCAAGCAGGAGATTCCTCACCCAGGAAGGGCTCTTCCCTCTCAAATTCTAGTTCCTGCCGTCCTTGCTGTCTGTATAGCTTTCTTATGTTAGAAGTACAGTGTTTGTTTCCGCCTCAGTGCTGGCTGCATGAGCACATGGGGGGGGGGGGGGGGGG